TTGGTGGGGAATTTTGAGCTCCAAGTGTTCGAATTTAATGTTTTGAGATGGCGTTTCTTGGATGTAAATTTTAATATTTTGATGCTGATTTTGGGCTCTTTCTTGCTGGCACTGCTGGGTGATGCTCCCTGGGGTCAGCACACAAACACCTCAGTTCCGGAGGTTTGCAGGAATTAGGGGATGCCTGCAGGGTCATAATTTAGAAAATCTTGGGATGCAGCTCTGGGATTTCTGGGATCCCATTAGCGCATAGGGCTGGGTCATATTTCCATCCTCTTATCCACCAAATCCTTCTCCTCAGGGCTGCTCCAACACCCAGCCCCAATTCTACCAGCCCAAAGGTGCTTGGTGCTCCAGAATCTTGATCTAAATCCAAAAGTTTATAGAAAATTAATCCCCCTTCAGGGACTGGCTGAAATAACCCAACTGTTTCCAGAAACACCAAATGCTGGGTGCTCTTTGCTTCAGCGAAGGTTTAAATGGGATTAAAAGCAGCAGAAGGCTTTTAAAAACGAGGACACAGCAAAACTTCATTTAGTCAGACATGTTTTGTTTGATGCTGATAGTGGAGAGCTATAAATAGCAATAAAAAGTTATACTTAACAGCAGAATTGCTGATCTGAGACACAGATAAAGCCCAGCTTTGTGCTAGACTAGACTAGGTCTGGCGAACACAGAATGAAATTATTACAGCCCCAGTTTAGCTCTTTCCCCAGTGTTTATGGGGAATTTGAGGAATCATTTCCAGCAGCTGATTGTACTAAAAAAAAAATCAGCTTTCATCTGCCTGAGCCATGAGCTGAGCATTCATGAACCACCCCGAGCCAGAACTGAATACAAACCATTGAGAGCTGGCCCAGAGGCCAAGGGCTGAGCTGCAGATCTGGGAGACACTGGTGGGGTTCATTCCTGGCCACTTAGGGAGCGTCTGGAGAGGTGTGAAAAGGAAAATCTATTTTTACTGAGTGCCCACAGGCAGAGCCACAGCCCTCACAGCCAGTCCTGGAGGAGGAGCAGATGTCCCTCAGCAGCAGGACAACGCCAGGATTTGTTATCAGCAGAGCTGGAGTTGCCCTCTCTGAGCACTCATTCTTTCATGTGATATTTTAAATTAAGGAGTTCATAATTGCAGTTAATAACTGGACTTTGATGCTGCAGGATTTCCCAGTTTGGCTTGGCTCGAGACACCCCAGCACTTACTTGTGGAATTTTTGCTTCTTTTCGGCCAAGGTCAGGATTAAATGTGTGAGAGGGTATTTCTTGTTGGGACTCAGATGTTTATTAGTTCTTATCTCTGTCACAGTCTCACAAACCCTCAGTTCTTTAGCACTTCACCCTCACACTAAAAATGGAGGCTTCTTTCTCCCTCTACAAGGTCTTTTAGGGATAAACTGTCCAATCAAGAAATGACACCTCAATTATTTTCACTTTTAATGTGGCAGCACAGAAATCTGAAATTCCCAGCAGCCAGGGTTCCCACCCTTCCTGAGCTGTTCTGCCCCAAACACCCCAAACCAGGGCTCAGACTCAGCACGTGGGGCCTGGCTGCTCCTGAGGAGAAGAGAGAAATGTCTTTCCCAAAGAATCACCCAGCTCTTTGTTTTTTTAATGCTTGACATCAATTACTCCTTTAATCCTCACCTCTGTATGGGAGTCTTAAAAGGATTCCCAGTTTATTCCATGACTGACGTGATTTTATGAGTTCTTTTCACAGCGGGGTTTCCCACAAAGGTTTGAGATCTCTCTGTGCATGCACACCCAGGCAGGGAGGGGTTCCCTCCTGTGGATCCTGATGGGATAAATTGATTCATCTAAACCCCTTCTCAATGAGACATTTTGACCTCCTAATCTCCCTGCAGGACCACGAGGCTTTTGTAGCCTTCCCTGAGACTTGCAGCGCTTCTAATCCTGATTCTGGGTTGGGATTTTGTGATTTCTGTCAAACTTTTCATCTTCCTGATGCTGTCTCACTGCTCCTTTTCACAAAGCTCCTTATTTTGTTACATTTGATTTGTTGGGATGATTCACAGGCTCTGGGAGCAGCAGACAAATTGTTCTGTTCTATTCACAAGGATAAATATGGAGATAATTAGGGTGTGTTATTAAACCCCATGCGTCAGGTGAGGGTTTGGGGTCTGATGGATGGCTCTGAACCTTCTCAATGAGACATTTTGACCTCCTAATCTCCCTGCAGGACCACGAGGCTTTTGTATCTTTGTTTTTTTAATGCTTGACATCAATTACTCCTTTAATCCTCACCTCTGTATGGGAGTCTTAAAAGGATTCCCAGTTCATTCCATGACTGACGTGACTTTATGAGTTCTTTTCACAGCGGGGTTTCCCACAAAGGTTTGAGATCTCTCTGTGCATGCACACCCAGGCAGGGAGGGGTTCCCTCCTGTGGATCCTGATGGGATAAATTGATTCATCTAAACCCCTTCTCAATGAGACATTTTGACCTCCTAATCTCCCTGCAGGACCACGAGGCCTTTGTAGCCTTCCCTGAGACTTGCAGCCCTTCTAATCCTGATTCTGGGTTGGGATTTCGTGATTTCTGTCAAAGTTTTCATCTTCCTGACGCTGTCTCACTGCTCCTTTTCACTAAAGCTCTTTGTTTTGTTACAATTGATTTGTGGGGATGATTCACAGGCTCTGAGAGCAGCAGACAGATTGTTCTGCTCTGTTCATGGGATCTGTGGGGATAAATATGGAGATAATTAGGGTGTGTTATTAAACCCCATGCGTCAGGTGAGGGTTTGGGGTCTGATGGATGGCTCTGAACCTTCTCAATGAGACATTTTGACCTCCTAATCTCCCTGCAGGACCACGAGGCTTTTGTAGCCTTCCCTGAGACTTGCAGCGCTTCTAATCCTGATTCTGGGTTGGGATTTCGTGATTTCTGTCAAAGTTTTCATCTTCCTGACGCTGTCTCACTGCTCCTTTTCACTGAAGATCTTTGTTTTGTTACAATTGATTTGTTGGGATGATTCACAGGCTCTGAGAGCAGCAGACAGATTGTTCTGCTCTGTTCATGGGATCTGTGGGGATAAATATGGAGATAATTAGGGTGTGTTATTAAATCCCATATGTCAGGTGAGGTTTTGGGTCTGATGGGTGACTTGAGCTGAGTCAGGAGGGTGTCCACCCTCTGCTAGCAATGCTCAGGGTCTGTTCCACTCTTCTAATCTCTGAAAGGAGGTTTCTCTCCCTGCCCATCTGTTTTTGGGATGAGGGCGGCTGCCACCTCCCTCTGTAGTGAACCACGGAATTTTTGCTGTGCCTCAGCCACTTCCACAGCTGCCACCTGATAAAATCCAGGGAGATGCTTCCTTTAACTAAAAGAGGGGAGATTAAGTTGGATTTCAGGAAGGATTTCTTCCCTGGGAGGGTGGGCAGGCCCTGGCACAGGGTGCCCAGAGCAGCTGTGGCTGCCCCTGGATCCCTGGCAGTGCCCAAGGCCAGGCTGGAGCACTCTGGGACAGTGGGAGGTGTCCCAGGGTGGGATGGGATGAGCTTTAGGGTCTCTTCCAACCCAACCCAGTCTGGATTCTGGAATTCCTGGCCCAAGCAATGCCCTGTCACTGGGCTGCTGTTCCTTCTTTCCCACACGGAATTCCCAGTTCCTGCCCCCTCCATCCCAGTGCCTGCTCAGCACTGAGCTCTGGTGCTCCACGCCCAGCCCTGACTCAGTCCTGACACCCAGATCTGCCTTTGAAATCTCCTGCCCAAGCAGTTCCTGCTCCAGAACCACCCCGGCCCTGCTCCTGCAGCAGGGCAAGGACGGGGATCCTTCCCTGCCCTCACAGAGCTTTGTTCCTCACTCCTTCAAAGGTTTTCCCAAGACTTTGGATTCATTGCCTGTTCTTCCAGGCCTCATTCCACTATTTTTTTTCAAGTCCTCCACCCTCCATCCTCTACCTGAATTTTGGGACACGGTGGTCTGAGGAGGTCTGTCCTTGACCCTGACTCAGTGCTCAATTCCACAGCATTTCTCATGCAAAAGCCTAAGGAGTTTTTAAAATTAATATTTATGCTTTAGTAACCCTAAGAGGAAAACATGGGCATCTCTGAGATCCCGTGTAGGAAAATAAAAAGTTATTAATTCATTAGTTTTGTGATTAATGTAATTTTGTGATTAATTAAATGATTAATTTTGATTAAGTAAAAGTAATTAATTAATTAATTTTGTGACTCACAGTTTTGAGTCGGACTTTGCAGCTTTTTCAGGGAGTGATCAATGCTTATGTCAACAGAGCAAATTTTAGGGAAAGGTTCTTCCTCCAGAGGGTTATGGAGCACTGGAACTGCTCCCCAGGGAATGGCAAAGCCCCAAGGCTGCCAGAGCTCCAGGAACGTTTGGACACCTCTCTCAGGAAGCGTTTTTGGGGAATCCTGTGCAGGATGGATTGGATGATCCTTGTGGATCCCTTCCAGCCCAGGATATTTTGGGACGCTGTGATGACAAATGGCATCATGCAGAGGAGAGAACGCGCGGCAGCGCCCAAAACCCAGAGGTCAGAGACGTCTCAACCTGCCTGAGGGGTTCCACTGAGGGGATCTCTTCCCACGAACGCTGGAAGAGGAAGCAGGAGCAGCAGGGAGCAGGAAAGACCGGTGGTGCCCCCTGATTTGTGTGCTGGGAGGGAGGATGGCAGTGGGAGAGAGGCGCTGCAGCTTCTCCCAAGAGCATTCCTGCCTTTCTGAGCAGCTCAGCCGGCAGCCAGCGCTGATTTCATAGTCATGTTTGGTTTGTTTTTTTAATGAATTGGTGCTCAAGCTGGTTTGAATACTTTACTTTCTGGTTTGAATATTTTCTGGTTTGAATACTCGGTGTTTTGAATACTTTCTGCATGACTAATTAACGTCCCGAAATGAATTAAGTCGCGCTGTTAAACCTCACCCAGCGTGTACAAACCACCCTTGCTCGGCGTTTTTATCTCGGAATTCTCAGGGAAGGGGCATCGCCTGCTATCTGAAAGCCACTTAGCCGAGCTGAGATGTGATGTCATGCTCTGGAAATACGTGGGGGTTTTTGAGCTCAGCCTGCCGGGACCCAGCCGTGATAAACCTCATTGAGGTGCTCAAAAGCTGCGAGCAGCAGAGATAGCAAACCGCGCTGGGAGCCGGCCCGGGATGGAGCCCCGCAGCCCGGCAGCCCCAGCTGTGCTCGGGTGAAGCTCTGCGGAGCTCTGGGCTGGGATTTGGGATTCTTCCCGGTGATTCAGAGCCGGGAGGCGCTCCCGGCTGGAGCAGCGAGCCGGAGCTCCCCCCGACCCTCGGCAGCAGCAGCGGAAAATCGGGAATAAGGTAATCCCACCGGCTGGAATGTCTGTGCTCCACTCTGGGATGGCTCGCAGGATTCCTCTCCTCCCCGGCTGCTAACTCCCTGTGCTTTTGAACTCATCCTTTGCTATCCACAGATTTCTTTTTTTTTTCTCCCCGCCTGGAACAAAGACAAGCAGGATAACCCGCTGATTGTTTGATCTGTCCACACCAGCCCGGAATAAAATCTCGTTTTTAATGAAGCACGAAGGAAAGCCGGAGCTCAGCACAATTCCCTGCCCGCCGGAGATCCTAATCTCGCCTTGCCGGCAGAGCAGAGCGGGCACTGCCGCTCCATGAGCCGGCCCCGGCAGGGAGCCGAGCCCAGCCTGCTCCCGCATCCCCGCATCCCGCATCCCTGCATCCCGCATCCCCGGATCCCTCATTGCCGGATCCCGCACTCCCGGATCCAGCATCCCTGGATCCCGCATCCCCGGATCCCGCGTTCCCGGCTCCAGCATTCCCGGCTCCCGGGCTGCCCCGGCCGCCGAGGGAGCGATGGAAAACCCCTGAGCCAGCGCCTGGAAAATCCGTGCCGCAAAGGTATGTCCCTCTCTCTATTTAATCGCCCAAACCCCTTCTTTCTACCCCTCTCCCCTATTATTTTCCCTATTCTTTTCCCCGTTCTTTTCCCTATTGTTTTCTCCATTGTTACAGCGGAAAAAAAAAAAAAAGCAGCGATTATTTTTTTTAGTGGAGAAGTCACTCGGGTCGGCACGTGCTTAGCAAAACAAACCCGTGCCTGTGCGGGGTTAAAGGGGAAATGTCCATTTTGCCTTGGCTCAGCCCTGGCTCGGCCATTCCAGCCGGATTTGGGGACCCCTCGCTCCCCTCCGGGAGCAGGACCGGCTCCCCGCGGGATGAGCCCCGGGGGGGTTTTCCAGGAGCCCCCCGTGTTTGGAACCCGCCCTTCCCTTCCAAACACCCCCTTCTCCCCCCGAATTCCCGGTTTTTGGGGGTCACAGCCGCAGGAGAGGGTTCTGCGGGTGTTTTTGGCTGCCGGGAGGCGATGGAGGCGCTGCCGGGCCGGTCCTGCCCCGCTCCCCAGCGGGGCTCTGGGGTTTGGCAGGAGCCTGGGACTGCGCTTATCACTGCTTTTAATTCTTTTTCTGAGAGCCTCTTTATGGAAATGGGGCTCTTCACAAGTTGTTTTCCGAATGAATGCAAAGGGAATAATTATATTTGTTGGGAGTAAAAGAGAGTCACGTTGCTGCTGCTGCTGCTAAAGAGCTTCCTGCTCTTCTTCCCTGTTAATTAAAACCACTACTCTCTAAAAAATCATGGAATATTTTGGGTTGGAAGCGATCTTAAAGCTCATCCCATTCCAGTCCCTGCCCTTCCACTGGTTGCTCCAAGCCCCACCCAGCCTAGCTTTGGATTTAATTAAATTAAAGATTAAATGAATTTCATAGATAAATAATTGTGTTTCCAGTTGTAGCTGGTGTATGTGCTCTTTCCTGCTTAAGTGGAGGGAATATTACCAATTTCTTAATAATTATTACTTTATTAATAATTATTACATTCTATTCCTAAACATCACTTGCCAATAGAATAAGCTGGATAATGCTTTTGTATATCCACATAATTTCTCGTACATTTTGGGAATTTTTACTTGGCAATGGACACAGTCAGGTATGAAAACCTGCCCAAACTGTGGAAGTCCCTGCAGGAATATCCATCATTTGTAGTCCACGTTGGTTGATTTTTCCAGGGTCAGGAGCCCAGGCTGCGGTTCATTTTTTAAAATCACTTCAAGATTCATTTTTCAGGCCACACCAGCTGCTGGGCTGATGGATTGGGAACTTCCAGTGGGCAGAACTGCCACAATAAATGCATTTTCTATATTAAAAAAAATAATTATTCTGCCACTTCAGAGAGCTTGTTCAGTGGGAATTGGTGTAAACCACAGAGATCCCAGTGGGAAGTGGGTGGAAATCCCTGGTGTGACTGTTAATACACCTTCAGAACAATCTCTGCTGGATTTTTCCCCGCTTTTCTTGCTGTGGAAAAGCTGTTTTGCACGGAGATGGGAGGACCTGGCTGGCTCAGAGCTGGCGCTGGTGGTGTCAGGAGGTCAGGCTGGCTCCGCGTCGCGCTCGGATCCCGCGGATCTCAGAGCCATGAGCTATTTTCCTGCTGTGGAAACTCAGTGGTGCCGTTCCCTCTGCAACCAGTGCTGGAAGCAGCACAGGAAAATACAAATTTTTATATTTTTGCCTGGTTGTGGTCAGTGCTGAGCTTGCAGAGTCCAGCTCTGAGAGGGACGAGGAGTGGGGATGAGGTTTCTCCACCAGATCCGTGTTTTCTCGGCGGCAGAACGAGCTGAAACAAACCCTCAGTGAGACAAACGATCCCAAAATGATTTAGCTGATTAGGACTGCTGGGATAAAATGATTCCCAACATTCACTCATTAGTTATGCAAACACCAAGGACGGGGTTTAACCAGGCTTGCCCTCGAGTCTAACCCCGCTGTCTCCCTGAAGACCCAGGAGGAGCCAGCAGGGAGGGAATCCAACCCTTCCCATTCCCACTGGATTTATTTTTTAGGCCAGCACTGACATAAAAAACATCTGAAAAGTCCTCCTGGCCGTGCTACAGTGGGAGGCTTGTTCCCTGTAAATCTAAAACTTTATTTATGCGTCAGCGATCTGCTGGTTCCATTATTTGGCGCTCGCGTGTCTGATCTCCAGGCTGATTTCCTGCCACTCTCTGGTGTAAAAGTAAAGAGGATAAGTTACAACAGAGCATGGAAACGGAATAAATTATTTGCTTTCAGCTCTGCTCGTCAGCAGGGCTGGGGTTTTCCAATGGAAACCCAAGTTGCATCCCATGATTTGTCGATCGATCCAGTTTCTCATGGCCTGGATGAACAAAGGGGTTTAAGGAGCACTAAAAATGAACACTGGACATCCCTCAAGATGGTTTTTAGGACCTGAGGGCAGGAAGTTCTGACCCCCCTCCTCTTCCTGCCCCGTTTTGCTCCTCATGTCTGTCAGATTGATGTGATGGAACGGGCAGAGCGAGTCCTTGGGGTCAAGTGATCCAAGGGCCGAGCTCGGCCGTGGAGAACTCTGGGGAGAGCTGGAAGCGTCTGCTGGTGCTGCTGATGGTCTGGCTCCACCAGACTCACTCAGGGAGACCTATTGAGTGAAAATGAACTCATTTAGCTCGAAAACAAACTGTTATTTCAGCCCTGGGGCGGCTGAGGCGGGCCCTGGGTGAAAGGTGCCGTGTCTGCCTTGCCGATTGGGATCTGCCTTTGGAAAGAGACCTTGGCTCGGTGGCAGCACTGAGAGGAGGTGGCAAGGTAGGATTTCTGGTGGCTCTCTGCCACTCTGGAGAGATTTCACCTCAGACAATCACTCCTTGTGGTGTAATGGGAGAGCAAGAGCAGAAGTACAAATAAACTCCATGATTATACCACAACTTTTTAAAAACTATTTTGAATTCTTTTTTTTTTTTTTTTGGTAGCTTGAACGACAAGGCTTGCTGGAAATCCATCTTTTTTCCTACAAAGTGAATAATTCCTCTTTTTTTTTTCCTGTCCCAGGCCCATTTTGCCCCTGGTGAGTTTTCTGTGTTTCTTGTGGTGTGGTGTGACCTACTCAGAGAGGAGCAGAGCCCTTATCCCTCCGTGGCCATATGTTCCTAGAAATAATCATCATTTTCATCAGCGCTGCTATTTGGGCTCTTCCCCGTCCACTCTGTTGTCCCTGGTTGAGTTTTTATAAATCCGCTGTGGAAATTTTATGGGCTTCACAGGAGAAATGTGTGTCTGGAGGCAGGACTCCTTCCCCACCAACAATAAAGTATTGTTAACCCATAAAAATCTATTTTGGACATCTGTACACCCAATAAACCCACGGTTTATCCCTTGGCACGTGTTAAAACGGGGAAAAAATCCAGTATAAACGGCCATTTGTTCATTGCCCAGTTGTGCCTACGTGATCCCAGCTCAGCCCCTGCTCAGCGATTCCCTGTGAATCCACAATATTCCCATTTATGGGGCTGCCAGCAGTGCCAGGGCAGGGAGTTAAGAGGGGCTCTCTCCCAAGGGATGCTGCAGATGCTCTCAGCAGGAGCTGCGCCTCCTCCCCGGGCTTGGCTTCGCTGGAAAACTCAGGAAATCCTCAAAGCTGGGATGGATTTGGGATGATGACATAAAATATCCCTCCTGCTGCTCCACGGGTGTGTATTCCTGAGCAAGCTCTTCCAGGGGCTTCCTAATTTTAGATAAATTGCTAAATATTCTATATAAATTGCTAAATATTCTATATAACCTGCTAAATATGCTATGGAAATAGCTAAATATTCTATATAAATTGCTACATATTCTATATAAGTTGCTAAATATGCTATATAAATAGCTAAATATTCTATATAAGTTGCTAAATATTATATAGAAACAGCTAAATATGCCATATAAATAGCTAAATACTCTATATAAATAGCTAAATATTCTATATAAGCTGATAAATATTCTATATAAACTGCTAAATATTCTACAGGAACTGCTAATTATGATAGGAAAAGATAAGAGGAATTACCTCATTTATAATTAAAATTTTATCATGTTTTCCTTTTACGTCTTTTATTTGTTTAATGCCAATTATTCCTGTACTTTATCAAATTCTGGGTGGGTTGTTTTTGGTTGTTTTTTTTTTCATTCTCTTCCTCTACAAGTGCCTTTAAGAGAATAACATAAATTCCTCTCATGGAATTCTGGCTGCAATTATTTCCTATCAGTCAGCCCTGAGCTTTTGTGTGGCTCTGCTTTCATCTCCTGAGCTGCTGTGCAGACAAATTACGACTCTCAGGCAGGTGCCTGACTCGCTGTGGGATGATCCCTGTGGATACTGCAGGGATTTGGCTGGAAAAATGGAAATATTTCAGCAGCAGGCAGGTTGCAGAATTCCTGGGGTTTGTCCCGAGGAGGGAGTTAAGTGCTAAAAGAAAAAAAAAATAAAGTATAAAAGCAGATTAGCAGAGGAAATTATTGGGATTCAGGACTGGTTTGCAGTGCAGGGAATAAAAGGACTCTGGAAAAGGGGAAGTCATGGAAGGAGAGTGTTTTCCTGGTGGTTTATATCCAGAAATGCTGATGGCTGCACACTCCTAATCTTGCCTCATTTTGAGCTTATTAAATGTGTGTTTTAAGTGCCCTGAGGCCATTTTTTAAAAGCTCTCAAAAATATCTTTTCTCAGGAAATTTCATGAACTGCTGCTGTTAGTCCTTATTTATTAATTAATGTATTTACTTACTGATTATGTTCTCCTCTGAAATAGTTAGAAATTTTTAATTCAGGCCCCATTCCCTTTCACTGTTGTCATTCCTTGATCCAGGCAGAGATTCCCAGCTGGAACCCCTCACAGGGTGAGTCCAGTGTTTGCCAGCTCTGCTCCTCGAGTGCACTCGGGGTGATTTCAGCTCCTGGTCCTTCTGTGCCACAAAATTCATGCTCCTGTTATGGAAATCAGGAATTTTTGGGTCTGGCTGGTGGAAGGAAGGGCTTGACAAGTTCATTTTTGGAGATTAATCAGC